GTGGAATGTCCCTTTATCATTATGTACTGACCCTCTTTGTCTCTCATTGTCTTTTTTATCTTGAAGTCTGCTTTATCTGATATTAGTATGGCTACACCTGCTTTCTTTTGCTTACTATTTGCTTGGAGTATTGTCTTCCATCCCTTCACTCTGAGCCTATGATTGTCTTTAGAACTGAGAGGTGTTTTCTGGAGGCAGCATATTGTTGGGCCTTGTTTTTTAATTTATCCAGCTACTCTCTGTCTTTTGATTGGAGAATTCAATCCATCTACATTTAGAGTGATTATTGATATATGAGGGCTTAATACTGACATTTTACCTCTTGGTTTCCGGTGTTCTATATTTCCACTGTTTCTTTTCTCTTGTATTTCTGACTGCCATTTCAGTTTGTTGGTTTTCTGTGATGGTTTTCTCAGTTTTCTCTTTATTTATGATTTCTGGCTCTTCTCTTATTTTTTGTTTAGTGGTTACCACGAGGTTTGTATAAAAGATCTCATAGATAATATAGTCCATTTTCTGATAGCCTCTTATCTCCATTAGTCTAAGCAGGTTCCAACCCATCCCTCTTCCCCTCTGAGTTATTGTTGTCACAAATAGTTCTTTTTTGTTTTGTGAGTTTGTGACTAAATTGAAGTGTTTATAGTCACTTTTGATGCTTTCCTTCCCTTTATCTTTCATGTTGTAATTAAGTGTTTACTAACACTTTGCAGCTGAGAGACAGCTGCAATTTTCTGATTTGTCTATTTATCTCCTTGTTCATTGCTTTGTAAACCTTTGCCTTTTTGTTAAAAGTAGGAGGGCTTTCTTCATTATTTCTTGTAAGGGAGGTCTAGGAGTGAGGAACTCCCTCAGCTTTTGTTTATCTGGGAAAGCTTTTATTTCTCCATAGTATCTGAAGGACAGTTTCGCTGGATAGAGCATTCTTGGCTGAAAGTTTTTGTCTTTCAGTATTTTGAATATATCATTCCATTCTCTTGTGGCCTGTAATGTTTCTGCTGAGAAATCCGCTGAAAGCCTGACAGGGGCTCCTTTGTAGGTTATTTTCTTCTGCTTTGCTGCCCTTAATATTTTTTCTTTGTCATCAACTTTTTCCAGTTTTAATATTATATGCCTTGGAGAAGATGACAGTTTCATTTTGACTTCTCAGTACTTACTGCCTTCTCTTGAGTGCTTGACTCGTTGGAGTAGAATGGTTAAAATAACTCTAAGTGTACACTGATAAGGCCACAAAATCTAAATTAACTGTCGACACATTTGGGATTTCTATTCACATTCATTAAGTCTTCCTTAAGACCCACAGCATGAATTTAAAAGGTAGTTCAAAGAGCCTAGAGATTGTGGCAACAAAACCAGGTAAACCTATCTGGTATAGAGACTAAATCCATCAGCTCAAAGCGGAACTTAGTACACAATAGACATCCAATAAATATCTGTTGAATGCTGATGATTTAATACACTGACCTACGCAAATTCACAAAGTAAGTACTCACAACCCCTACTTTTGTGTTATTTTTGTTTTATTGCCCCAATCCTTGGATCTTACATAGTACTCACTCAATTAGTATTTCCCAAACGAATGAATGAAGAAATAAAAGATGATGACATGTCATTATGTAGAGCATTTTTTCCCAAGTTTTATTTTAAAATATTTATTATGTTGTTATTTTTAATTCATCATCATATGTTAATCCAAATTTCTTGACTCAATCATCCCTAATTCTGCATCTTTAATATTTCCCTGTTCATGAATTCTACTAATGTCTTACATACTAGATTCTATGCTCACTAAGAAGTAAGCCATCTATTTTTCAGTTTCATCTCCTTACATTGCATAACATGGTACTGTACAAAAAGGAGTGTTTAGCAAATGCATGTAAGATAAATAAATTAGATAAATATGAAGTGACACTTTCCTATTAATAATAGCATAAAAAGGTTCTTTCTGGAGTAGTTTTGTTTTATCATATACAAAAGCAAGGATTTGGTTACATATTTACTTATCAAATGGAACAAAGCTATTTGAATCTCTATGAAAATCTATCAACATTTATGACATAAAATAAATAGCTTTAGGTACAAACTCTAAATATGGTTTTACATCAAGCACTATAAACAGGCTAGTAACTATGGAAGAGGTCAGTAAATAACACTAGAATTGAACTGTGAGATTCAGATACTCTTAGATATATATCTGCTTAATATACAACTTAATAAATCTGACTTTATGAACTTATATATACTTAGTGTCCAATAAAAAGTACAGTTCTTCTTGCTTGAACTAGCTAAAACAACAGATATTCTCTGCTAGAGTAATAAAAAATGTAAGAATTGAAAGTATCTGTGTCCATCTTGATCAGTCATAATGTTCACAGCATGCAGAGTTTCATAACATGTTAAAAAGTAAATGATATGCATACAAAAATAAAGCTTCAAAATAATTGTCATCTTCAACTCTAGTTGACAGAGGCAATGTTGCTAAAAATAACATTATTTGTGATCAATGAATACCTCAAACCTAAATATACAAATTCTAAAACAACACTTTCATTACTATTTAAATTTCACAAATAAATTCCATAGGAACCAAAAAGAAATTTTTAAAATTAAATTTTCCAATTACATTGATATTTCTTATACAAAGTACATTTGTATTTTTTCTCAAAGTCATCAAACAACGGTAAAAATGCCTAATATTTGCATAGCTCTTCGCACCTCATATATTCACGAATTTGATTCTCACAGTAACTATATAAGCTATTACTCTCATTACTTCCCAAACCACAGAGCTTGTAAAGTGCAGAGTTTAGACTGAAACCCAAGTCTTCTCATTCCAAGTCCAATGCGTTTTCATTGATCCACTATTTGATATTTTTTACATTCTCTAAAATCCCATATTTCTTTACATCTTCCTCTCTTAAGACACCTGTCCGTTCATTTATGCACAGCTTTTATAATCTACCACTGGATTATAAACTCCTTGATTGGAATATAAAGGCAATCATTAACCATCTGGTAATAAACTCTCCCATTTACGGACCCCTTCCAGGCAACAGATATATGATGAAGGAAACAGGATAATTTTAGCTCATGGAAGATTCACCTACACAAAATGAAAAAGAATTAAAAACTCCCCAAATAGTCTATATCACCTTAAACTCCAATTTTCAACTGACGGAAGAGCTAATTATTATATACTGAAAGCGAACTAAATAAAATTAGGTAGTAGATGATCTGAAGCATTTAAAGAAATACAGACACTCTTAAATTTAATAGAGATGTTTGCAAAATTTCAATGACAGAGGAAGCCTAATAAAATCTTTAAATGTGAACTTGTAACAATGTCTTATTTCTAGAATATATTACGCTGTTCACTTTAGTGAGTTAAAACAAAATGACAATACTAAAGACAAGTGACAATTTGCAAGTGGACCCTTTCTTTTTGTTTCTAGGAATACTAATTCGAATTCTTGTAGTTATATTTTAAACTAGAAATGGTAATAAGGGAAATATTTCAGTCTTATTTAATGTATTACATATTTCACAAATAGTATCTTTTAGAGCTTAGAAAAGAGAAGGAACCATTTATATAAATTGTAGTTAGTTTATACTTTATCTATGATCTTTCCTTCTAAAATTCTCATATCATTTATAAATATTGTCAACATGGGCACAGGTTGTAATAGGGAAGGTTATGTACAACCATAACTTAAAGGCTCATACAAATTATAAGAGAGTTTGCCACAGAAATAAGGAATGACACACTATTAGAAACAATAGGTTGGATGTATAAGAGTAGGCAAATATGATTAGCAGGTTGAGGTCTGAATACTATGCAAAATTAACACATAGTGTGAAAATTATAATACAAATTTTAATGGACTTATTCCTTTTAACCCATCGGAATGGTATCTATTTTCATTCAAATACAATTACAGATGTGAATATGCTAAATGTCGCTGAATTGTACACTTTTAAATAGTTACTTTTATGGTATGTGCTTTTCACATCAGAATTACAGATAGACATATACATTGATACATATATGTATATGTGTGTGTGTGAATATATATTTGTGTGTGTGTGTACATCCCTAAAATCCTCTGAGGTTCATCTAATGATAATGGTTCAAACTTTTTGTAAGGTAATTAGTGTCACTCTAGTGTCTGGACATAAACTGAAATCCTGTAGAGAGCTAGCTTGAAAATGCATGCTTATTGAAATGTTAAATAGATCTATCAATTTCTTCATATGCCAAAAATTTTAAAAACTAGGTAACGTTAAACCATATTTTGAGATTACTATTCATCTGTTTAATGCTTAATAAAGAACGTAAAAAACATAAGAAGTAGTTTAGCCATATTTAAATAAATTTCAATAAATAAATTAGTATTAGAACAAGCAATGTGAATAGATCATTTTTTAAATTTTTCACTGATTTCTATTTATTGTTTATTAATGCCAACAAGCAATAACTTATACATAAAGAGAAAAAAACCTTAAGCCCAAATGAATCATAAAACCAATTCAACTATCACTGTCCCATTCATTAAGGAATTTCCTTATCACTATTTAATAACATATTTCTTAAAAATCTCTCTTGATACCATTTTTTAAAGCAATTTCAAGTGCAAGTTTCAAGAGCATAAAATTCATAATTAAGTTTCTTCAGGAAAAAAAGAAAAATCATGATAATCACATTATTTCTTTTTATTTTTAATTTAAAATATATTCAATGCTCAAAGTTAACTTAAAATATTTATGTATTTAAGTTGGTAAAAACTATTTTTAATTTATCATATTTTAAAATATATATTTTCTTAGTACAACTAACATTTTAGTGAATTTTGGAGCACTGTATTTAAGGAATTCAGAAGAAAGAAAACTTAAGTGCTAACCTTTAAGTGTTATTGGGATTTATCACAAACTATTCATCATTTTATTACAATTATACCACAATGAACTACATCAGAATAGACATATAAACTAGATTGGAAACGTACATCAACAAATTGTATGATAAAGTGTCTCCTTTGTCCATCAGAAAATACAGAAAGGACATATTCACCAGGTTTCCCATGACTCTCTCGCACCAAGAAGTCTCCTTGTTGTTTTAACAGATCCTGCGCTTCTATTCTGGGAATTGCACCATGGTACCAGTCCTGCTCTGCCAGGGGCTTCTCACTTATGGGGATTGTATCACAGAACTTGAGCAAACAATAAAAAAAAAAAAAAAAGGAAAACTAAGTTAGAGAAAACCACAATTTTTTCTGGTAAAACTCATAGCAATTATAAATACTTCTTACATATGTTCCTCCCTTTAATTGACCAATTAAAAGTTATATCATGAATCTGAAATTTTCATAATTTTCAAAGAAAATATCTCCTAGAGCACTGGTGAAGTTTAACACAAACACATATCATTCAATATTTCAAGTTTATTTGTTTTTTCTATCTATCATACATAAGTACACACAATATTAGCATTTAGAGTTAGCATTTATAGTCTTATTCATGTCATAAAATAAATCCATAAACTTAAAATTTATCAACCAGAGAATCATGATAAAAAGGGAGTATTATCAGAGAAATCTATCACAAAACAACTTTGTTTTTATTTAAATTAAAAGTTGAGTTATTTCTTTTTATGGAATTAACTTTTGATCACACAGGCTGTGGACTGTCCATGTCACACGTTCCAGGAGCTCTATCTAAGGCTTTTGATGCTGCCTTGCTGCTGTCCCTTCCCATTCTTATCTCCTTCCCAGGACTTCCTAAACCATTACCTCCACCACACGATGACAGATAAAGCCTTAGGAGAAACAGCATCATTAAAAACCACCAATGTGTAATTATAAACACGTAGCAAAAACAACGTAGGAATATAAGCCAAGAGTATGGCAGAAAAAGGAAATTCTGTTACTTTAGGAGGCCAAACTAATACCAAACAGCAGAGATAACTAAGAGCTTATTATATTTTCTTGAAATGTTTCTAATTGATAATAGATGGAATCACACACTTTTCCAGTTACAAGTAAAAAGTTGTTTGTTTATGTCATCCATAGGAACTAAATCACCCAGATGGTTAAGAGTATTTTATGAGTAAGGTACAAATAATGTGCACTAACTCTTAAGGTTCTCAAAAGACAATATATACAAAGCCTCATGAGAAAGTGATTTACAAATTGGGAAAATCAGAATTAATAATAAATGAGAGGCAAATATTCACACATAAGGTTTCTTAGGCTGATATTATGAACTTTATATAGAGACCAATTATGACATCTTTTTGATGAATGAAAAGTAGTTTTGAAGATAGCCTTCACCGTTTGCACCACTGAAGACGCCCAAACTTACTGGCCAAAGTTCCATTTTGTATTATCCAAAACCCATCCTACTGATTTAAAAAAAGAACTTTGAAAAATCCCAAACAGACTTCAAAGAAGAGTTCACATTTTGGTTTCTATTTCTTCCACTTATGATATTCTTTAATTCTTTAAATATATATGTGGCGTGACTATACATGAAAATTTTTTGTAATCTAATTATGCTAAATATATTTCAAAAAATTTTAAATCGAGTTGCCAAAAATGTTTCTAAGAATGAATTATATAAAGAACCAGCCACAGTTATAAGAGTTAAAAGAACATTGCTTTTAAAAACAAATGTATAATCCACACAAATCAACTTTTTGTGTATACTGATATTAAGTTTATAATTCTTAAAGCAGGTTGTCAAAATGATCAAATATTTGTTTTCCAAAATTTTATCACAGTGCATCTCATTATAGTAAATACTATACTAATTACTATAATAGAAAAATTTCCAAGTCTCGCCAATGGCAAAAGTGTTTCAGAGAAAAAAATCAATAAAAAAAGAAATCCACTGTCACCTCTTTGCAAAGAACTTGTTTGTATCATTATCTCTTGAAAACGTCTACATAATAGAAAAGCATCCCAAACAAGGATGTCATGTACTTGATTTCTTGTCCTATTCAACCTATCCTCCCAAATTTTGATTTATTTAGAATTGGAAGAAGGCAAAGCCTGGAGAATTCACTAAATTGGAAGGGCATTTGAAGAACAAAAACTTAGCTAACACTCTGAGAAATTCATTTAAGGATTTGAAGGTGAGGAATATGTTTGGGGAAAAAAATCATCCTGACAGACTATCTAAGTTTGTTTGTTTTTAAAAAAGAAGTGAATAGGAAGAAACTTATATTGCCGTTTCATGGGAATTACACTCTAGTTCTTTGGGTTTATTAGCTTCTTTTAGGCAGGAAGAGAAGCTTAGAGGTCTGTTATTCCCAGCCCATAGAAAATACTGCTATGAAATGCAGGCTAAACTTACTGTGAGTGTGTGTATGTGTGTGTGTGCACACCCGTTCACAGGGAAAGGTCGTACATAGGCCCTGTGTGGGTCTATCAGGGACTACTCTGGCATTGGAAAGAATGTTTTTATTAATTTTAATTAATTGTTTTATTAAATTGATTTCAATAAAATTTCAATACAATTTTGAAAGCTTGATAGTAATAGAATGTAGGATGTATAAGCAACAAAATTCAACATCCCAAGAGCCGTCATAATGACATCAAAAATGAAATGATGCTTTTTTACCTCAAAGATCACAACTTTCTAAGTCTCAATAGGGAAAGATTTTTCCTTGTCAGTAAGTTATATAAGACTTTTGCCAATGATATGGGGGAGGGGAAGCCTCCTTTTTTAAAGTTATAGTTAATCCAATACACTTAATCAGTTATACTTAATAACACAAGCTTTCCTAATTGACCAGGCTAGCTATTTAGTTAGTTATTTTCCCGGGGCCTTGTTCTTAACTTAATAAAGTAGAATCGATCATTTTTTTCATGCACTGATATCTTGAACCAAAACAAAGACACTTTACCTAATGTTTACTTTCCACAGTGAAACTAGCAATGAAACTCTTATTCATAAATTTCTTAATTAATAATTTTTTGTACTTTTTGAGAATTTGAGTTTGTTTAGTCTTTAGCTAATAATATAACTGTTGTCTAGCGTAATGACTAGGCAGAATTACATGCTGATCAGACATTCACATTCTTATACAATCCTTTCTGATACTTTATTTAAAAAGACAGACAACTAGGCCAAACTCAAATATTACCTTACTTCCACAACTTCCCATTGCTTTGATTGCCTTTTTGTGTACCTTCTTTGATCTCTCATAAGAGACACTATCTCTAACAAAATACATTTTCTTACAGGTCTTTCATTTTTGGTCTAACACTTCTACTTCTTCCAATACCTTCTGATTTCCTCAGACTTTCCTTTATCTTTTTCCTGCTCCTTTTGCTCTTTTATTTTGTGTGTGTGTGTGTGTGTGTGAGGAAGATCAACCCTGAGCTAATATCCGTGCTAATCCTCCTCCTTTTGCTGAGGAAGACCGGCCCTGAGCTAACATCTATTGCTAATCCTCCTCCTTTTTTCTCCCCAAAGCCCCAGCAGATAGTTGCATGTCATAGTTGCACATCCTTCCAGTTGCTGTATGTGGGACACAGCCCCAGCATGGCCAGACAAGCGGTGCGTCCGTGCGCCCCCGGGATCCAAACCCCAGCTGCGAGCAGCGGAGCACATGCACCCAACCGCTAAGCCACGGGGCCGGCCCCTAGCTCCTTTATTAATCTTCTCTTTATTAGTAATCATTTTCTTTTCTCTTTATTATTTTTATCCATTTACTTTTTCCAATTGTGCTTATGACTCTCATTCATTCTCTCTCATCTGGTCATTTCACTGCATTTTTTTCTACAGTTTCATTTTCTCAGTATCAAATATTCTTTCCTTAAGCTCATACAATATTATATATAAAATGTGCTGCAATATCAATATTAATACATTTTAATCGATTAACTGCATTCAGTGCTAATTTCATTTGATATATCGCAACTAAAACTATTACCAGATCATTCTAATAAGTCAGTATGCAATCATATTTCAGCAAATTTAAACATTTCTCATCAAGTTGGGATTGCTTATATAGAATAGAGTATCAGTCTAACATGATCTGGGTCATTTGTTTTAAGCATTTGAGCAAACATACAAAAGAATAGATTTGCTCCCTATACCGTAAAATTATAGAAAATAAATCCTGATAAGCCCTTCTTGAAAATTAAGTGTGATGATGCTAGTGATTCAAAACTTGTAATCTGGAGAATAATTATTTGGTTTTCCTAAACATGACTAACTATACAGGAGAATTCAGTGTATGCATGGCAGTGATATGATGCAAGAAATTTAATTTTTATTTTCCCTTCTTTCTCATTTTTCTACATCTTGGTGCCTGGGCAAAAAAATAAAAATTAAGAAAAAGGAGAGGAGGTAAATTAAGACCTTAAGAATAAAGAAAAACAACTAAGGTTTAAAATATATAATATTCAATCTGAATTTAACAACATATGCCTTGTTAGAGGAAGCACAAGTTTGCTCTGCTAGACTTGAAGGAGAACACTAAAAAACACAAGCAGTTTATTATGGTATGCACGAAAAGAACTACATTCCCCTACGCCAATGGTGGAAGCCAAGCATTATAATATTAACATTATAACTGATGTACAACTTAAACATAGCTGACATAATTTTCTAAAAAGAAGGTAGCAAGCAAATCTTATTTACTATATTATTCTATGTAACGGAAGCACATCTTTATTTTCCAATATTTTTATTTTCTAAATTCTAGTCCAAAGTAATTCTAAAATTAAAATAACATATATCTCAATAGAGTATACAAAAATATAAATTTTAAGGAGACAAAGTTGAATAATTTAATAATTCTTCTGGTGTCTAAAGAACAATTATTTGGACCAAAATGTGCTTTATTCTGGTTTTAAAGAACATTTCTCAAAGAGTACTACTGTTAGAAGGGTGTTACAAGGCTGGCCCCGTGGCTTAGCGGTCAAGTGCGCGCGCTCCGCTGCTGGCGGCCCGGGTTCGGATCCCGGGCGCGCACCGACGCACCGCTTCTCCGGCCACGCTGAGGCCGCATCCCAGGTACAGCGACTGGAAGGATGTGCAGCTATGACATACAACTATCTACTGGGGCTTTGGGGGAAAAAAATAAATAAATAAAAATTATAAAAAAAAAAGAAGGGTGTTATATACTCCAGAGATCAGTGATACAACTAGTACTCACAAGGGGATGTAAGATGGATCAAGATGTTTGCTCAATCACTACTTAATTATAGAAATTCTGCAGTAAAAAGATGGCTCTGGAGAAATGGCAGTATTTTTGACACGACTAGAAAAAAAATCACATAAAATATAATGTGGTTTGAAAGACTTCCAGTGAAAATGGACCTTCATGATTGCCAGTAGGTTTTCATATTATGCAATTAATCCTGTCTAACATCTCTGGGCTTGACTTCAAAAGCAGTCTGAAATAGTTCTCAATGCAAAATTATAACCTCCTGCAGCATGGGAAGATGCTGGATGCAGGTCTCAGTGCCCAGAGGTACTAATGATAGGTTACTTAATGCCTTTAGTACATTGAAAAGAGAGCACATATTTGGAGCTGATATAACATACCAAAATACTACTCTGACCATAACAATAAATATTAAACATCTACTATCAGATACTATATTCAGTTACAGCCAAACTCATCTATCAGCTAACTATCTCACATTCTTCCTTCCATCAAGACTGCTGATCGAAGTGTTCCATTAGACTGTCTTCAAAGGTAGCTCTACATTTTAGCCACACTGTTAAAAAGGTTGAAATAAATAGCTATGGCAAGTCCAATGGGAATATTATTATGATTAATTCTAGTTTCATTTCCCGATATATAATGCAATTAATTGCTTTATTTTATTTAAAATTATCTTTAAAGTTCCAATTTTTGTATATTTATTTGAATAGAGAAGTAGCGATTTCATTGTTGTGTTTTTAAGATTTTAAATTAAATATGCTTCCACATACAAAAGAATGAATTTAGACCTCCACCTCATACCATAGACAAATATTAACTCATAATGGATCAAAGACCTATATGTAAGAGCTAAAACTATAAAATGCCCAGAAGGAAACAAAGGTGAAAAACTGCATGACCTTGGATTAGACAACGGTTTTTTAGATATGACACCAAAAGCATGTGCAATCAAAGAAAAGTATATAAATTAGACTTTGTAAAAACTAAAAACTTTTGTGTCAAAGGACACTATCAAGAAAGTGAAGAGACAATCCACAAAATGAGAAAAAACATTTTCAAATTATATGTCTGATAAGGAGCTTGTATCCAGACTATATAAAGAACTCTTATAACTCAACAATAAAAAAAACCCCAATTAAAAAATGTGTGAAGGATATGAATACTCATATCTCCAAAGAACATACACAAGTGGCCAATAAGCACATGAAAATATGCTCAACATCATCAGTCATCAGGAAAATGCAAAACAAAACCACAATGAGACACTACTGCATATCCACTAGGATGTCTATAATTTTAAAATATGAAAAATAACAAATGTTGATGAGATTATGGAGAAACTGGAACACTCAGACATTGGAAAAGTAAAATGGTGCAACCATTGTGGGAAACAGTTTGACAGTTAATTACCATATGACCCAGCAATTCCTAGGTATATAATCAAGAGAATTAAAAATATATGTTCACATAAAAAGTTGTACATGAATGTTCACTGCAGCATTATTCATAACAGCCAAAAGTGGAAACAACCCCAACGTCCATCAGCTGATGAATGGATAAACAATATGTGACAAATCCATACAAGGGAACACTATTCAGTCAGAAAAGGAATGAAGTACTGCTAAACGCTATAACACAGATGAACCTTGAAAACATTGGTCATGTATCATATGATTCTACTTATGTGAAATGTCCAGAATAGGCAAATCCATTGGGATCAAAAATAGATTAGTGATTGCCAGAAAATGGAGAACAGGGAGAATTGAGACTAACTGCTAATAGCTATGGAGTATCTTACTGGGAGACTGAAACGTTCTGGAATGAGATAGTGGTGATGGTTGCACAACACAGTGAATATACTAAAAACCACTAGGTGTATGCTTTAAAATGGTGAATTTTATGTTATGTGAAGTATACCACAATAAAATAATTTAAGTGTACTTAAGTATGCCATTTTGCCAGATTTTTAAAACATTTTTATAGGAAAAAAATCACTTATAGTAACTAAAAATTTTCCTTCTTCTACTTTACCTTTACCAAATCAGAACACTACAAAAACATACATTACGTCAGAAAAAAAATTTTAATTATGATTAAGTACTCTAAATTGTTTTGCATCTTAGATTATCATGTTTAACACCTGAAACCTTCACATTCACATTAAGACTCAAGATCTCAGTTACCTGGGTATTTGAGGGAAAAATCTCTTTTCCAAATAAACAGGATACCTAATGCCTTAGAGAAATAGTTCTGCACATTTATCATAGTGTACCATAGCATCATAAACCACAGACTGCTTCAATCTTTTTAGTTCATGAAATTTCTAAATGAGTCAGAAATATCAAAGGACACTTAACTGAGGGAGAGAACGGTTGCCTTCAGCATGAAGATACAAATGTGATCAACAAGGTTGGAGGAAGTGAACACTCTCTAGAATTTTCAATTACAGAGGGAACACTTTCTTAGAAAAAATGGGCATTTCAAAGCTTCATGGATGTTGATAAGTGTATAAGAAACAGATCACAATGTATATTTGAGATACTTGCTTTGTGGGAGAGGCACTTCATATCAGGTTAAAGCAGTTTGTAAACACCAAACTTCTACCTATATCAATCACTGTCAATTTAGTGACTTTATTTGAGAATAAGGTAAAGACCACTTTTAAACGGAGAAAATAATATGTAAATACCTTCAGAAATTAAAAAAGTTACGGTTTATACATCAATTCATGAAGATTGTGGATATTATATCCAACATATTTTTTAGGATAGCCAACCCTATACAACTTCATCATCATGAGCTAACTGGATTTCTCCTCTGCTTCTAGATTCAAATCCGTGTGTCTTAAAAGAAAAAACCTCTCCCATCCTCTATCAACCCTGATTTATCAAAACAGGCTCTGGCTAGAGCCAAAAACTAAAGTTCCTGTAACTATGAGCTTCAAAGTAGTGTATGTAACATCAAGTCTCAGAAGCCACTGTTGTACTCCTAGACGCCTGTCTGGAGGGGGCACAAGGTTCTTAGGCAACCCAGGTTGGTAGGGAAGGGAGGGGGGACCAAACAAACGCAGGAAGTGTTATTCCATTTCCACGATCATGGAGGAGTTCTGATTTTTCTGTCACTAGCTAAACTTTTGAATCTCTAAATTCCACTTTACTCAAGTCAAGCTTGATCTTAACTGCACACAAAAAGGAAAATGGTGGGGATATCTTTCATAACTAGCTCACCAATAAACTGCTACTAGTTGCTGGCACAAAGACCTCTGACTAAGTGAAATAAAGGTGAGTTAATCACAACTTAACTATGCCATATGTTTCATTGATACATTTCAATGTTAAATAACTTCATGAAGGGCTAACTGAGGTACTTGAACATTTCTTTTCAAGAACTATTTTTGTTTTTCATTTTTTTAATATTTCTTTTCAAGAATTGTTTTTCTTTTTCTTCTAATAAAAGCTACCAAAACACTGTCCTCGTGGAGTCCCTAGAACTTCTTATAAATTCTTAATCAAGTCTCCTACAATTTATTTCAAACGTCAAATCATAATAAACCAAGTGCTATGAACTACTATTTATCTGTAAAATTGTAAATCATTAACTTAAGAAAACAAAAGTACGAGTTGGGCCTTGCAAGAGACTTACTCTATCATGTAGCTTTTGCCCATAATTATTTTTATTTTCATTTGCTATTTAATGCCACATGAGATGGTCTGCATTAGTTCACAGCTCTCTCCCTTTTCCCATAGAACACTTCTGCATAATGGAAGTGACAAAGGCAGCATCAAAGGCTAAGGTGTACGTGGAAAATCTGTTTTATATAAAAATATAATTTTCTTTTGTTTTGTTGATTAAAATACCTGATGCTTTGCCTTAATTGTGTATAAAAGGTTGTTGCTTGACTGGAATAAATATGGGAATATGTATTACATATTAAAAAGGAATTATAGCAAATAAATCCAAAATGTAAATGGATATTTAACTAATCTATGGTTAGAAAATACTTTTTTTCTAAATAAGACTAGGTCACATTATCTTAAACAGCTAAACTTATAAGAATAAGAAACAATATTAAGATATTATTATGTAAAAACTTGGAAAGATGGGGAAAAAAGCATGTAATTAGTTTGTACTGAATACTGTTGTTTTGGCTACCATTCAGTAAGATATCATTGTAAAGCTCTATTGTGAATGAGGCATGGCTAGAATAAAAGGTTTGATAATTTAGTTTTAAAGGTAATGAAATAAGAATATTTTATAATTTTACTATATAAATGGGCTAAGAATATTTTTTATCTTGCTTGGTTATAGCTGCGGTTACTAGGGATAACTAATATTCTATGCACCACTGTGACATGCCAAACCCAAATTTCAAACAGACTTCAATTTTATAATTAAAATGTTCTAAGAAATATGAACATACATATAAACTGATACATTTTAGAAATACATATACGATAATCCCTATTATAAAAATGTTTCACTGGAAAAGAAATTTGTTTATACTATTCTTCTAATAAAGCCCTCAAGTATATAAAATGTTTCCTGTAATTATTTATAAGTAGTACAGGAAGTCTATAATACAAGTTTCTTTCTTTCCTCTCTACATCAATGTTACATGGGGTTTAACTATATATATAAATGCACAGATTCATATGCATACAAAAAGTTAAATTATGTACTTAATTTGTAAAGACAAATTTACATATGATATTCATTGGCATATCAGAGAAGCTAGACAATGACTATTTTCAGTAGCACATAGAATTCATCCTACTTACTGTTGAAGAGCCCAGTGCAGATTTTGGAGACCTAATTATTCCAGCAATTGAATGACGAATAGACTCAAATTTGGATAGCCTCTCCTTTCTTTCCTGGAGAGATTAAGAAAGAAGCCTTTAGCAATAGTAAACTATCCAGTATATACAGTTATGCTAGGTATTTAAATATTTGTCCACAGCTTATATCTATCCATTATGTCTTCCAATCAAATAAAATGTAAACTTCTTGACATTAAAGATGACCGATAACCAAATGCACATAAACTCTATAGCATTTTATTTTCATGGTCCCTCAATAAATGTCTTGATTTGGGGAAAAATAAAAAGAACTAGAGGGGCTGGCCCTGTGGCTTAGCGTTTAAGTGGGCACGCTCCGCTACTGGCGGCCTGGGTTCGGATACTGGGTGTGCTCTGATGCACTGCTTGTCTAGCCATACTGAGGCAGCGTCCCACATACAGCAACTAGAAGGATGTGCAACTATGACATAAAACTATCTACTGGGGCTTTGGGGACAAAAAGGGGGAAAAAAAAGAAATAGAAATTCATGAGATGAGAGAAAACAATAAATGCAAAGAAAATTCACAGAAAACCAAGTATTAACATACAGAAAACAAAAAGACACAAGCTAGAAGGAACCAGTCTAACATAGAAGATTTCAGAAAACAGTATAGTTGTGACAGATTTTCAAGAAAAAAAAAATAATAGGGAAAAAACAGGAGGAGAATTATATGGAAAACATTTTTAGACACTGAATTCCTTAAGTGGCTAGGAAGTTTCTTCCTCAAGAAGTTTCCTCATCAAGATTCACCTCATCATGATGATGATGATGACGACGACAACAACAGAGGAGGACAAAGTAAAATAAGAAGGAGGTAGTGTCAGAACCACCACTAAGGTAAGTCAGTCCAGATTGCTATTTGCTATAGGACATATATTTCTCAATATCATGTACCAGAACTGAAGGAAATTTTTCCTTAAAATTTCAAATCTTTAGATCCATTTTACAAAGACAAGTGCACAGAGTAGGTAAGAGGGTAGAAAAGAAGAGAAAGAAAGAACAAAATGTGAACTAGGAGAAGAAGGAGAACAATGGCAAAGCATCTGCGAGGATTTGTAATGGAAGCACTGGTCAATTTTCTAATAACGACTACATTTCAACTGTGAATCAGCAGCAGACAAAATAACAAGATATCCTACTGCCAAGTGCTGTATTTCCATATGTCTTCCATCAGTAGTGATGCTCAAATCTACTTGTCAGTGGAAAATAACTAAAGCAGACCACAAATAACATCTTTTGTTTCCTTTGTGTTCAATACCTAGCGTTATGTCTCTGTATATAGTAAATGTAGACATTTTTGGTCATATGCTACCTGATAAACACTGCAGTTTCTGAAATTCAGTTTTTTCTCTCCACTTGCCTACTCTCACTTTATTTACTTTTCATTCTAATAGTACTAATAGTTCTTATTATTCTATGCATATTAATTAATAAACATATGCATATTAATAATTTAAAATAATCTTAGGATAACCTAACAGAATAGATAATCTCAACTTCTTTTTCATTAACATCATCACTTACACTACTAACATGCTTACAATCCTATGTCAATCACTAACTATACCTCAATCTGATCATCTATAAAACGGAAAAAATAATACAAACCTTCCTCAGGGATACTTACAAGTAAATTACTACAAGTGATTAAAATTAACATGTCAAAAGCATGTACATATTTAATAAAATTTACTTTTTAAAAATAAATCTTAATGTAGTACAAATGCTATCACCTTAGGAATGTGAGCCTACATTCTATAGCCTTAATCCTATCTGCAGCTTCAGTTTTATTTTTTAGTAAAAATCACTGTAACTGAGCCACAAGAAGTGCTGAAGGAAAGACAGTCTTGAAGTACCGAAGGAGTATAGTGACTTTTCTTTAAAGCATGTTCTTCTTCAACTTGGGTGTGTTTTGGGTGGTTTTTTTTTAAATCTATTTTTGGTGCTGAAGAAGTCTTCTGAAGTAAAAAGGTTTGGGAAGGAAAAAACTGATAAAAGTAGAGCCAGGATGCAGAGAATGGAAGAGTGGGGCATAAGGCATACATAGTTGTTGTTTGGTAGTTAGATTTATGAAGAAATATATACCGATGGGTGTAAAGCACACATATTGGAAGGTACCGTAGTGGCTATAGATTTTCTGCTCCCCAGCCCAATTTACCTTTTTTCTTATTCCTTTGGGGAATTTCTCCCCCCAACTCTGTGTGGTTGTGGCGGTGGCACTGGTGTCAATAGTAGCAATGATACTGCTGTTGATTTTGTTGCTGCTACTACTGACAGGAAGATGAGATGAAAGTGCTAACCTCATCTGTTTGGCAAAGAAAGCTTCCCAAGAAAGCTTCGCAAGAAAGCAGCAGGCACTTCTATTGTAAATTTAGGCTTCTCCTCTGAGTCAGCGCTCTTAAAATGCTAGAGAGAGTATGGTCCCAATGTAAGAATACTATGAGAACAGAACTGAAAACTGTATAGGAGGTTACACAGAAAAGTAGAAAATTCAGAGGAGAGTTCTAAGTACTAGAAAGCATTTTATTTGTATAAGATTTAATAATATTCACTGAGATAGTAAAAATAACTCTCCTCAAGCTATATCTTGGGCAACAAATTTACGAAAGGAAAGGGAACCATTTCCCCCCAAATCCTTTGATAATATCAAAAGAGAAAACATTTTCTTAAGAAGCTAATACTAGACAAGTCTAATGGATAGGTCCAAGTGTAGGGTAAAGAAGACTGCAAAACCAGCTTCCTTTATTAAGTTACAAAGCATAATATATTGCGTGTTCAAAGAGAGACAATTAGTCACAATACCCTTTCACTGAAAGATACTCTTTAAATACGTTGATCTAAAAAATGTATTACCAGAAAAAAATAAGTAGACCTTAAGTTTCATACAGGAATAATCAAATGCAGATAGAGTTATAAAACATTTTAACCAGTGTCAGCTCACTTGGTGCCCAGAGTTTCACAAATAAAGCATGAAATTCATTTGCCAAAGCGCCAGTCTATGTAGCATTACATATCAGCTTTAAATTATTCTCTACCTAATAATACATCAGACTCCGCTGAATTCACTGACAGGTTAATTTTTGTGTCAATTAATAAAATGGCTACTTTAAAAAATTAAAATTAAAAAGCTTCCCCTCAATTACCACAGATACAGTGCCTAATTCTGCCTGTAGGCCTGCCAGGGCTAGTGATGATACACCCATTGTACCTGCCTCAAGTAATGACAAAGTAAAGAGCTTTCTCCAGATAAAGGAGACAGGGATTAGTTCTGGCAAAAGGAGAGCCCCTCACAGTGGAGGCAGTTGGGGGCCAGTGAAGGGGGGAAAGGAGAGACGATGTTATGAAATAATACCTGATGTTATAAAATAATATTCTGATGAGATGTCCAGAAAAATGCTAAGTACAGTTATAAACCTGTCTCGAAAGAAAAGTTCTAGATGCAATATCAGTTTCACATCTCATTTAAGAAGAGTTTTTCATTACTTTAAAATTAAATGAAGCAGCATCTCTCAATCTCTCTCTCTTTCTCTCTACCTCTATACATATATGTATAAAACTAAGAGACTGTTTCTTAATAATTAAAAGCCTATTTATTATCAATTTAAACAAAAACTCTGTAAGGAACAATACCTAAATTACTTATAGTTCAAGTAAAACCATACTTATCATGTTTTGAAATTACTCTTCACTGAAACTCACAAATTGAAGTAAAACAGGCTCTCAGGTCACTTCCATCCCCTGCCCACTAAAGCACAGGCAAAGATATAAAAGGCAAGAATTGAGGTTTTGCTGATTGGTGTGACTCTGTCAAAAATTAACAGCTCTTGCAAATGACAGCCTATCTAGATGCTGCAGTAAGTTACGAATTAACAACTTTAACCAAAAAGCACATAACAGTTCTCCAAGCAAGGCTCTTAAAGGAGGCACTAAGGTAGAAAGATGGTCGATAAGGTTCTTGATGTCAGAAGAAATAAAGAGTATGACTCTGGGCAAATTACTTAACTTTACCTTAGCTCTCATTCTCTAGAGTGGTAAACAGGAGGACACTGGACTAGATAAAATCTTCATCTCAAAAATTCTGTGACCATTGTCCAACTCCCCAATCATTTGCATCACATTGATTATTGATGAAACTCCCACAGAAGAGTCAGGTTGGCCGCCAAAGTTACATCCCCTAAAGCGCTTAGTCACATTCTGCCTGAGGTGCACTCAGAACTTGATCCAATGGGAAAGTGAACCATAATGAGAGATGCCACCGGAACACTTTTTTGTTAATAATAGGTCATTAAAACAATAACCAAAAAAAACAACAAATGTTGGAGAGGATGTGGAGAAACAGGAACCCTCATACACAGCTGGTGGGAATGCAAACTGGTGCAGCCTCTATGGAAAACGGTATGGAGATTCCTCAAAGAATTAAAAATAGGGATGCCCTATGATCCAGCTATCCCACTACTGGGAATCTATCCAACCAACCTGAAATCAACAATCCAAAGAGGCTTATGCACCCCTATGTTCATTGCAGCATTATTCACTATAGCCAAAAAGTGGAAGCAACCTAAGTGTCCCTCGACTGACAACTGGATCAAGAAGATGTGGTATATATATACAATGGAATACTACTCAGCCATAAAAAAAGACAAAATCATCCCATTTGCAACAACATGGATGGGCCTGGAGAGTATTATGTTAAGTGAAATAAGCCAGAAAGAGAAAGACAAACACTGTATGATCTCACTCATATGTGCAATATAAACCAACACACGGACAGAGAATTGTGGTTACCAGGGGCAATGGGGGTTGGGGGTGGGGGGTGGGCACAAGGGCTGAAGGGAGACATACATATAGTGATGGACAAACAAAAATGTACAACCCAAAATTTCACAGTCTTATAAACTATTAAAACATCAATAAAAAAATAATAAAAAATTAAAAAAAAAACAATAACCAAATATCATTCCTCACAGACTTCTATAAATAAACCCAATCTAATAACATTCTTGGAAGGAACAATAAAAGTGATTATTTGGCCCT